ATATAATATAATATGATTCAATATAATATAATACAAAAATATAATAGTTCAATGTACCATTTTTTGTGCTACCGCTGCATTGTGTATTATGCAAACATCAAACAAGTGTAACAGCATGGCATGTTGCCAGATGCCTCCATAACGTTCTGTACCCGTTTCTATCCCAAATTTCTCAGGTACCCTAAAAGGAGGTATATCCGGAAACCGGAAAAGCAGCAGAGTGTTCTTGACAAAACACCATTCCCAGCATTAGGAGCGGCAGGGACAGGAGCATCAGCTGCACCCGGTGAAAAATATGATACGCAAGTTCCCCTGATCATAGTGTCTCCCACCGGCCAGAAGATAGAAACTGTAACCACATTCAAGACTCACAAATTAAATCAGTGCCGCAACGAATACACTCACTCTAACATGGTAAGTGAAACAAAGCTAGCTGGTTTATGGCGAAGTCCACAGCCAAAGTCAAGAAAAATCTAATGGATGACGACTGATTGGTTTTTACTTGTACGGGTATGTGGCCTTCAAGGCTGGTCCTCATATTCAGCGTCAAAATAACATTTTTGAACAAAGCAAGCAGAAACGGTAATGGGGAATGTCACAATAACTTTCCCGGACCAGTGGAGGACCAACGCCAAGCACTGGAGTCGGTGAAATTTGGCATCCTTTCGTGGACACTCAGTGCTGCACGACTTCACTCTGCTTTTATACTTTTCTTAGAAAACTAATTAAGTTTGGCTGGGGCAAGCAAATATACGGATGATTAGCCGAGACACTCGAAATATTACACAGAAAAGTCAGTTACTTCGCCTTGTTTGATAATTTATCTTTTTTCATTTAGGAATTTACGAGAGTTTTCAGTGGTTTGAGTGGTTCAGAATAGCCTGAAAAATGCCGAGCCAAAAACTCTAAAGATTTGGCCAAGAAGGAGCAATACAATCGTTCCTGTTTTTGGTCACGACATGATTTTTTGTTTCCACTTCGGGTGAAATTCGATACAGGAATTGTTGTTTTAACCAGAGCAGACCAAATGACAACAAGAAAACTGACCATACTTTTAAATGGCACGTTCTATTGACTAGCTAAAAATCATGTTCGCCAGTCGATATTCGGAAGGCATGTGTGAACTGCCAGCTGCTTCGTGCAAAGGTCAAGTACTTGATTACAACCGGGAAAAGTCAGTCTATATTTATCACACAGGGTGATCGATTTTGCTGAAAGTAATTCCACTGATTGGGGCGCCAAAACACCGCAAACTAACTTGAAATGTCAAAATTTCTATTCAAGCTTACAATAGAACAATCCATTTTTCGCAACAGCCGTTGCAATCTAAAGTGCTCCGATGCAAACGGGTCGGAAACACTGGTTGTGAACAGCAAAGCTCCGTGAACCCTCAGTTAAGTTTGTCCGTCACCATAAATTTCGACCTGAAGATGAGCTCTTTGATCTCCGTAAATAATCAGGACTAATCATTGGTACTCCGAAAGCGTTGCTGGGATCGTATGGTACAATGCAATACTCTTTGAGATGACTATAGGCGTGGATTCCTACAAGGATCTATGATTTTGCACTTTATAGAATCGCTCAAATTTGTCCAAATTCCCAAAAGATAACAAGCAGTTACGAGTTTCCTTTCCTACCTTGTATATCCAGTAGAGTATGCCTGCAATATTCCCACAGTAAGCTAGTGAGTGGAACTTGGCGTCTAAATGGGTTTTCAGTTAGGTCTTAAACGAACTCCGCTACATGACTTGTAAAAGAATCTACAATCATTAACCGCCATCCACCGATTTCCGCCAAAGAAAAAAAATTTGATTGTTAGACTCGCTTTGGGATCACTGCACTTGAACCGGTCTTCTTTCCTATTTGAGATTAGCGAAGGGGCTTTCTAGAGGGCTTAGTCTACTGAATGGAGTGACGATAATTCAAGAATGTTTATAGTTTTCTCAATGTTCGCCACGAGTCACTCTTATTTGAAACAAGTGATTATCCAAAGCGTTGAAAAAGTACACAACGATTTTCAAATGAATACTCACATCGATATTTTTCGTCTAAGTTTGCAACAGACAGAGTTGTCAGTGCGACCTTGAAAGACAAAGCTCGGACATTCCCCTTTCGCATCCTAAAAAAAAATTAAAAATGAATTATCGAGTGTGTTGTAAAATCACGAGTGGAAAATATATATCCATATGAAATTGGCAGTTTGAAAAACTTTCCTTTACACTGTTGCCAAAGTCTCTTTGCGGGGTTGTTTCTGCAATGCAGTCACGTAATTTTGAAAAGGCGTATAACCAACTGAAACTTATCATTCTTCCAAATAAATGGTAGAAAAATTTGAAACTGTAATTATTCAGCGCCCCTGACACAATAACCAGTATGTTGGCTACAATATTTCCATTCTTTCATCTGCAGGTTTCTAGAAATTTGTTCATTATTTGTGTAGCCTGTTTGCTCGCTTTATGATCCGTTGCACAATAAACCCGATTGTTCACCATCTCTCCCGCAATCCAGAAAGAATTTATCTAACCTGTCATTGTCTACAACTGTTTAACTAATGTTGTTGCTTGTCCTGAAGTGCAGATCCTGAGAACTGTGGGTTGTGACGTCGTTTGGGAGAGAACTCTCACCACTGTCCACCGTAGATTTGCATCACAGTGAGCGACTAAACAATCGGTGGGTAGCTGCGGTTTCACTTACGTGAATAATCGGTGGTTTCCCCATAGCCTACTGGTCTCAGACATCTGACGTATGCTACAAAATTTTGTCGGTTAAACTTTCCACTCTGCAGGTGACAACGTATTAAAAACTGCGGCTGACCTACGCAGACATATATTGCTAATGACTTAAAAGAGAAGCTTGCAGCTAGAGTGAGTGTGTTCCTATGCAGACTCGGACACAGAGCATCGAAAGGAAAGCCCATGATTTCGTACGTTGGGACGGAGAGTAAGATCATAGCCAGTTTATTCGATTGCTTTTCAAGGAAGAAAACCACCTCCACAATATGCCAGTCCAACTGTGGCTACTGGTAGAAGCTACAGTGGTGAAGGATGAAACCAAGCAACACTAGCATGTTTGCTTTCACATGGCTCCCGGCGTGATAGTGCATAACAGATCGCGTGAGCTGGCGATGGAGCTTTGCAGCGAATGATGGCATACGTGCAATGTAGCAAATGCCCAACTGGTGAGGGTTATGTTAGCTTTGTTTGTGCAACTTCATTACTTACATTTGTGACCTACTGAATAACTTAACAACACCCAGACAGCCCGACCTACAAATTTGAGCACGCCTTGAAGACGGATTATAACTCAGGCCTGTACTCATTTTACACAAGCGGAGTTTTTTCGATCACAGACAAGTCACTGTCATTTGATAAGGCAGCTGAAGACTCTAAGAGAGCAGACTAGCAAGTTCGCCCACCTTGGGCTCACAAATTAGGCGCATTCCAAAAGTTTTTGTCAACCTTATGTTTTACTTGAACCCAGATCTCTACAAACACTCATTTGCACATAAATTCTGAGTCTCCTGTTAAAACCAAATTCATGTGCAAATGAGCATTTGTCTGCATTCTCGGCTACTTCCTTTCCATAAGTGAGTGGTATCTCACTTATGTTAACCAACATTTCACAATCCGCTGACAAAACGAAAATAATGAAAAACATCTTCGCTCGTCCAGAGGTCTTTGACATTACAGGATTTCGTTTTTCTTTTCTGTGATGTTTACAGAAGTGCAGTCACCGAAATAAGATGACACGTGACTACAACCCTCTGAGCGCATAATGGCTTGTTTTTCATTGGAAAATCAGACGGTTTGTGGTGGCACAGGTCCCCATTGCTCAAACGACATGTTCTTATATAAGCATATGACATACCCTTCGAGGAAAGGATTATCTTCAAGTAATCGCAAACGTCCAGTCGATGTGCTATTGGCCGAAATATTGCCATGGGTGAATTCAGAATGCGAGAACACAAGGTCAGCCGGATTTTTCAACATAAATAATCCAACTACCACCGCATGTCACTTCAATTTTTAACCTGAAGGCTTGATTTTCGAGAGGTCTAATTTAGAAAGTAGCCATGAATGGCTCCTTTGCTGAAGTGAATATTATCCTTGCTCGTAAGAGAAACATAAGGGAAAACTGACGGAAGTTTGACAAAATCTTGAAGGTGGTCCATAAACTATGGCGTTGAAGTTGTTTTTTTCGCTATATGAGGTCTATAAAGTGTGCCATCCAAAGTTACTCTTGAGATTAGGGGCCAACAAAGGCGGTCATTTTTAGAAACAATACCAAATGCTGGTCGACAACTATCACGAGACATCTGAAAATGTTTCAGCCAAAGATGTACCGGTTTTGTTAGAAAGTTTTGCTTCAAATAGCGACAGCTCATAATTAGTATGAGTTTCGCTTCAAGAAAGGGAAATACCCGCATCGTCTCTGCCAAACGAGATTTTTATATCAAAAATTATTTATGATTATTCATGGGTGATCACATTTCTAGTGGTGCTACTTTTTGATAGGCCACTTAACATAAACTACTCTCAAGAAAGAAATTCTCCCAGTACTTCGCAGGAGAACGAATTTGCTCTATACTAATTCTATACAGTGTGAGTTTGCAAGAGTTTGAAAATGCAGAAATTCTGATTGGCTTAATGGTCCTAATTGAACATTTCTCATTCGTAGAGCACCACCTAGTTTCATCGGACTTTAGCTGACAATCAGCCCAGGTACCAGCGACAAAATATGTATAGAACCGAATTATCGATTTAGTTCGCATATGTTCTGTAGCTCAGGCAAAAACGCTTTGAATAAGGCAAATATCCTCTTTGTGTTCAAAAATTCTCTTACATTCTTCCTTGCGTTTGATAAACGTGAACACCGACACCGATATGGTTTATCCTCAAAAATGATTTACTTTGCGATCCTCCCATATTGGGTTTTGACTGGTGAATGATTGGGGTCCGTCGCGTGTTGCCTCATCCGGTCGGGACTTGTCACATATTGACTTCTGTGTAGGAGACACTATACACTGCTTAATGATGAATATGTGGTTCAGGTTAAATATTTGTGACCTCGCGATTACCGTGTTTTCCATCGGGTGGGTGCACTTTTGGCTGCTTTTAATCAATCACGTTCCCTGACGCATGGGCTGGACGAAATAGTCAAACGCAAATGCTTATAAACCTAAGTGCTGGAAGTTCATCTACTGGCTGCACAATTTACACACTCACCAAGCGCTGACCAGCTTCTGAGACAGCCTGGAGCCATTCACTTGTGAATGAGAACTTTTAAATGTGCTAAATACTCTTAAACAATAAACGAGTTTGAATCGAGCCATGAAGAAGCGTCGCGCATCTCGACGTAACACACTACTCATGAAGTCACTGATAAATCTTCACCTTATTTGAAGCTCATTAGGTAGACACAGTCCCCGAGTTTCCGTCAACCGTTCTGCTCGAATCAAAATTGGATGAAATTCGCCAATTAGTGAAGTGGAACATGAAGCTGAAACGGCGCCTAACTGATGTGTATAATGAAGGCGAAACCAACGGTGGGTTGTAGAAGAGTTGTCGATAACCCGACGAGTGGTGTATCACATCTAGAAAATACACTCCGATACCTCAAATATCGTATCAACTAAAACATGAGGCGCAGCACATCAAAAAGAAGAGATACAACTTGATTCAGTTGTATCTCCCGTTGGAAGAGCAACTTGCTGTGTAAATGAAAGTATCTGGTCAAGCACCATGTAATTTGACAATGTTGGGTGGAGAAGAACATAGTACTGAACAAAAGGTGTGCTGAGCGTGGAATCAAACTCGCGCAGTTTGCGCTATTTAAGGAAAATGCTTTCATCCTGTGGCTGTGATTGACGATCACTACCTCATTTGTATTAGTTGTGGCCACCATCGTCCAGGCAGTGGGTTCATCCCCTCTCGAATCTGTCATGTAGGTCTAAACAGCACACTTCATTTTTCCTGCCTAACATAGAAACTGACTTGACTTAATTATGACGAATTAATGTGTGGCAGGCAGCTATGGATTCTAGAAGACGCTTAATTCAGGATATTATTAGGATCACTGTATAGGTCTAATTTTGATAATGCCAGATCCATCAAGTCGCTGATTAGCACGAAAAAGTCAATCCACTTGGAAATAGTGTGAGTATTTTGGTGTGTTAGTAAACTAGACAAGTTGGTCTATGTGTTTCTAGAGAAACGGAGAAGGGACTGTCCATTTTGCACCAAACCGGGGGCAAGAAAACATCGCGTACGCTTGTGATTAGGGGCCGTCCAATCGTGATGAATTTTAGAAACTCCGTTGATATGCAATACTAAGCTAAAGGATCTAACCAAAATAATGTGAATCTGTGAAACAGAGAGTTAACTTACGGCCCAGTTCTGTGGCGAAAATAGAAAATGATTCCTTAGAAGTAAGCTTGTACAAAGTCAAAACATATTTTATAGTTACGATATTAGTAGTTAATGAGCAGGAAGAGCGAAATCCAGGACAGGGGACTTTTTGACCTGTCCACGAGTCCGGAGTTGTGCGGCCATAGAGATATTATGGAATAATTTCCTGAATTGTACTTTGTCCTAGTAAGCTGCGTCAAACCAGAGGGGATGCGTCCGGCACAAGCTAGAAATTCCGAAACACTCTTCTAAAGTGGACCAGCCGGACATGCGATGATGTTATCCCAAAACTAGTTTCAGGCCTCTTGAGCCCTCCTTGCGGAATGAAAATGCATCGAGGAACCAAACACTTTGTCAGGCTTGATTTCATAAACCAGAAAGAAGATACTCCATTTTATTGATTAGCCACAGAAGAGCATCAGCTTGCCTTAGAAGTGGGCTCTTAATATTGTGTGTGGGCTAAACTGCACTCGATAAACCTTTAGCATCGTTCATCACCTCCACAATGGAGACAAGCGCTAAAACACAAGAAGATCTCTGTTATTAAGTTGTTTTTCTGGGATCTCTTGAGGCGGATTGCATTGTGATGGTAGTACTAGATCGCTCACATTTGGCCTCGTTTTTGCTTATGTACAGTTATTCAGTTTGTTCACACACCTGGCACTTATATGCCATTGTAATTATATACATTGCGCACATCCGGTCTGAGCTTGTTCATACGTAAATTCGCTGGTCGTGTTGGTGTGTTGAAAACACTAGCGAATTGATTTAGTAAACGGGAGAAGTTGGGAGAATTTTCACTGGTGCAGCAGAATCCAGATTTTGAGGGTGACAACCTCTTGAAAAATTTGAAGTAATCTGTTGAACGTTTTGCAGTGACAGCGCCGTCAAAGTTGCGTCCGTATTTGTGAATAACTAAAGCAGGAACCCCTCGTTCTAGAACAGGTTATGATACGTAATTCGTTCGCATCTGAAAACGCCAAGGTGTCTTAATACCTAAAAGCAGCAGTCTTATTTGCGTTTCAAAAAGCTGTAGGGAAAAGAAGTGAAAAAAGCTGGTCCTCAAATAACCAAGAAGTAATTCCAACCTGAAGTGTTTTCTCCCACGTACAAGCCCTCCAAAACGGATCACCATTTAGGTAATTAAAGAACACTTTTCATAGAAGGGCATCGTTGTTCGGAGTTGGTCAGCTCTCACAGTTTATCGAATGTCGTGGACAACACAATCTGAGGAAATTCGATTAGGTTACACCTTTGACTTTGAGCCCTCCATTCAGATAGAATCCTTGTGTCTATGACTACTTCACTTGCCTCTTTAGGAGTTACAAATGTGCAGACATGTAGGTGGCTAGGCCGCACGTCTGATAGGGTCAAAAAACTTATGACCATATAAGTATTTTTTAAATTAAAGAAGTGTCAATCCAGTATAAACCAACACTAAGATCCCGCCACTCCGACAGAATACACTCTTCCCCGAGCGAGAAAAAAGCACAAAAACGTTGTTGGACACAGTGCTCCTAGGCTTTTCAGGATAGATTAGCTTCACTTGTAGGGCGAAATTTTCACCAAAATCCTCAAATCTCCTAAAACCAGCGACGGTGAAATAACCTACACTCGAATCTCATACTAAAGTTTTTGATTTGCCTTTGGGTCGCGTTTTTGTGTTCTTACTTTCCAACGAAATTAATATCATTTTAACCACATTGTTTGTTTTTAATGAATGAAAAACTCAGCATCCACAATAAGATGGTTATACCAGTTTTTGCCTCAGAGGGCCCACAATCGCCCTAAGATTACTTAGACCGCACCTCATGAACGACATTTCTTCGAGTGACACAAAAGTATTTGTGCTATGTGATAGCAAACCTGAGGTAAACATCAGCTAAACGCCATTTGCTGAAATCATGAGCCAATGCACGAACAAACCTAGCACTAAGGTTATTGATGAATTGTTGTTTACGCAACCAACATATGCAGAAAACAAAACACAGGCAACGAAAATGGTCAATTTTATCAATAATACGTGTCTGGTCAGTTACTTGGGTTCAGGAATACGGGTTCCGTAGGCAACTACTTTATCTGCATCTTGTCCGGCCAACATAAACCCGAGATGCCCGACCAGCTTCAAAACATATGGAGAACACTGGCCGGAAAATACGATTGTGACTTGCTGGCTTTTTAATGCAGTAGCAAAATTGTTTAACATGCGTGAAATATTCATAGATTGGGGCATGTTACTTAATTTACTGAGCTTCGGAAATGTCCGGAACACGTTACACTTGAGGCACAGGCATATTTGTCCAAACAAACGTAAGGAGACACAGGAGAATTCTAACGAGCATGAAGTCTTTATCTCACCTGTCATAGACATTCAGTAGCCAGTTCAAGGTTAGATCAACGCAAACGTTCACTGGAAGCCTTGTAGGACCAACGAGAAAGTGTCGTTTGCCTTTTCTGGTGGATCGACGTGCTTTATCTGAACCTGTTCGATGAATCGGGCTAGCAGTAGCGGTAAACGTCACACTCTCTGGAAGGCTGGCACACCTAGTGCCTGGTGTAAGAAGACTCGTTGGCTGTACACTACCAGGAACAGGTGAGGATATCAATGGCCTAGTTGACGCTGGATCTCCAGAATTGCGCTGTTGATCTCTGGTAGTGGAAGAATGACGACGAAAGCCTTTCCCGCATTTGGTTGGGGTCACACGACTCTGATGAAGTGCGTCGGTCTTGAAGAACAAAATGAAGATTGATTGAGGTCACTACTACATGATGAAAAAGACTCACAATTAGTATTTAAAGGCGATAAGTCAAAATTGGTCCACGCGCTCGAATATCTTTCTTGCGAGCATGCAATTGACTATCTGTCAAGAATGTTGTAGTAACATCATTAGATGCACGACAAGTTCTTGTCATTTAGTGTGAATATGTTCCTAAGGAGTGAATTCTGCAGAAGTGTAACGAAATTAATCGTTCCCTGACCCGACCATAGGTCGAGAATAATGGTAGAAAATATTCAGATAACCGTAAAAATTGGAGATACCTAGCGTTCCATACCGAAAAGGAACGTTATGTATGTATAACTTTCCCTAACCTAAAGTATCAACCTTGGGTCTTAACTTTCGCATTTCCCGAAGACTGTCTGACAAACTAAATACGAAATTCCAAGTTCGGGAATATTTGTAACCCGATCCATTTCCACCAGAGCCAATTTCCGAGGTCAAAATGTATCAACTGAGCACTGAATTTATGAAAACACACAATTACACTAGCAGGGTCTTCTTACCATAAACCAAGTTAGCTATGAGGAATTCCTTGGTTGCTGGAGTGTCATGCTCTGACGTCTTGATTAAGTTTCTGAGATGATACTTCTGAACAAAAGGACTTGTGTCACTAAGGTAACTCAACCACTGAAAATGTTCATAGCGCAGACTATATTTCAGCGCGCATTTACTGATAATCCAAATAATGATAATACTGACAACCTGTGCAAGCAAATTTCTGTACACTTCCTTGTTTTCAGCTGAGGCTACGAACCTTGAAACAAATAAACTGAAGTAATTGATGACATATACTCCTTCACAAAGAATGAATGCTGTGAGCTAAGTTTGATATGCCAGTAACCTACGTCGCTGGACCGCGTGGATGGAAGGGTGGAATATTTGGCTGAAGCACCAGTCTTCTGTTGAGAAGCAGCCCAGTCTCCACCAGCCTGGTGCTTGGCCGGGGTTCCCTGTGTATCGCTCAATCCAAACATCCCGTTTGCACAATTGAACAGGTCCAACAGACAATCGATCATTTGCGGTACATTTATTGTTCGGTCAAATGGATCTTGATTGTGCTCATCGACCGGTTGAGAATGACCGATATGTTTCAAATTTTCCGCCAGGATCGATATACTCAGCGAATCAACTAAACGAAAGGAACAAAACATTTTTGTGAATAGAATACTGTTTACTACGCCTGAGACACTCGAAAAAGGCTAAGAGACTGTTAATTTTTTCGTCGAATACTTCACATTGCTCCGATGGAAAGCAAGTGTGTAGTCAAGTAACTTAGTCATGGCAATGGAAAAGTCATCAGGCATTCTACGAGCAGTAATGCAGCCGTAAATTCCTCATCAACGAAACAAATCCAGCGGTCATCTACAAGACATGAGCGAAATCATGCTGAATCCTCACTGCAAGAACCAGAAGAGTTAGCTAAACCCGTCAAAACAGTATGGTATCTATTTCATACGGGAGAACTTAAACAAAAAGCAAGAACATATATGAGCCGAAAAGGATGATGGATTCACTAAAAATCTTCAAAATTCTGGAGACTCGCGTCAATATCCAAGCTATCTGAAGGCTAATTAAATTAAATAATGAATCTGATAAGTTTTTCACGTTGTCTTCAAGGTCGTTGGGACACAATAGCAATGCCAATTGGAAAAGCCATAAGAAAATTTTAAAATGCAGAAAATTCAGCTGAAGACTAAATAATTTCCAAGGTAATTTCACTTAACCTTTTCATGTAAGATATCTAAATTTTCCGACGTCACTAACAGTGTAATGCAAAGCACAGCTTTTATGAAAATAGAAGATTTTTGAAAAAAATATTGTGGGCCAGAAACTTCAGGTTATCTTTTATCCCCCGTGAACTCCAAAGCAGCAAGTTTTGTGTTACATGATAAGCTTGTAAAGATGAACCAAGCTGGAGGTGGAACATGCTTGCTGTTGTACTTCGCTTGAACCGAAAGAAATTAAGATGAAAATTAGACTTTAGTAACTTGGACGTCTTACTAAAAATTAAAAATTCCTAACGTGGTGCCTAGGTTAAGATTTAAAAGCCAGTACTTTTAGACGAACACAACAGAGCAATTTTCTTTATTGATGTTTCACCCTTGCATGGATCTCAAAATCCTGATTGACTAACTGAGTGAACGCATGAATGGATGAACGGCTAAATAAAGAAAATGAACAAATAAATGGAAAAATGAATGAATGAATGAATGAATGAATGAATGAATGAATGAATGAATGTGTGAATGAATGAATGAATGAATGAATGAATGAATGAATGAATGAATGAATGAATGAATGAATGAATGAATGAATGAATGAATGAATGAATGAATGAATGAATGAATGAATGAATGAATGAATGAATGAATGAATGAATGAATGAATGAATGAATGAATGAATGAATGAATGAATGAATGAATGAATGAATGAATGAATGAATGAATGAATGAATGAATGAATGAATGAATGAATGAATGAATGAATGAATGAATGAATGAATGAATGAATGAATGAATGAATGAATGAATGAATGAATGAATGAATGAATGAATGAATGAATGAATGAATGAATGAATGAATGAATGAATGAATGAATGAATGAATGAATGAATGAATGAATGAATGAATGAATGAATGAATGAATGAATGAATGAATGAATGAATGAATGAATGAATGAATGAATGAATGAATGAATGAATGAATGAATGTGTGAATGAATGAATGGAGAAGAAGAACCAACGAAGCAAATTTAAGCAGTGTTGAAACCTTTCTTGCTAATCATCATCGTAGGACATAACAGGGCTCTTTGACCACAATATCTGACTCTCATCTGTGGAATTCAAAGCCCACCCTATCTTCCTTCTGATTACCTAGCGTTCATACTTCGTGGATCATTAAGCGTTAGTTGCCCAGGGCTTGGTGGGAAACAAAGACACTTGGAAGTTCAAGTAGAACATAAGATTGACGGAAACTCGTAGACCGTGCTTACATGATGAGCCCAAAGGAGAGCGAAACGAGTCGCGGACTGTCGAAGAATTTCCAGCAACCTTTCGAGTAGTGTGTTAAGCCTGAATTTCAGTTTTGGGTGGAGTACAGCCAAGGGATATTTTTGTCCTTTAGCGCTCTTTTTGAAACGCATCATCAACACACATCATTTGTTATTCAAAGCTCAGTAAGTTTTACAACTCAACCGTAATATATAACCATTTAGATATTTGAGAGCCATTTTAAAGCAAGGCGAGTGGGTTGCAGAATGATTCTACACTTTTTTTTTGCATAAATGTACATGACGAAAACCATGGTTTAAACATAAGGTTTCTACACTATCCTAATCAAACAATGTTTATTCATTTTACTGCGCCGGCCTTTTGATCCGTAGCAGTCGCCAACAAAAGTTTTACATAGAAGGAGGCCATTACAGCAACTTACGGCAAAGAGTTTTTTGAAGCTTGCGTAGTTTCAGCGCTGTTCTGTACTCTGCAAATCGGAACGCATTCATCTGCTTCATGGACTGCATCAGGTCCGACAGGATTGGATGGTCCCACTGTGTGTCTTGACTTGCATGACTTTGATTAACCAAAATAGGAGAGGAGAACCACATGTCCGATTAGCTTAAATTGACGTCAACGACAATATCAACAGAGAAACCAACAACAAGGTAGTTTTCAACGCTCTCTGCAAAATGGAGCGTGTGAAATGTCAGATTATCAGGACTGCCGTGAATTACCCCCCGTGATAAACAAATCTGCAAAAGTTCTGAGGTGATAATGTGTGGAACAAATTTTGTGTTCTCATGAAAACATTCAGCGACGTGTTTATCTATTTGGGAAACATGCTTCTGTGAAACTCATCTCGAAAGCAATGCTTTTTATGGAACGAAGAATATATTAGATTAATAAAAATTTAACATATATTCGTGTAGGAGTCTAATCGGGAGCGAAGGAAAAATATTTTTACGTCAAATGCTAAATCCAATATGAATAAGGTTGAAAGGCGTTTGATGTAATATAGTAAAAGAATTTCGGTGAAAAACAATATGGAGAGCAGGACCATCTTGGACCGTGTCCGACGTGAGCTACGTAATCACAATTTAAGTGAATTACGTGGAGCACTTGTAAGGCCAATACTCAATCGTTAATATTTAGGCAAAAGAACGAGTTGAGGCAGAAGTCACTGTAGCGAGCTTGTGTTGTAGATAGGTCGGGACCTGTTTACTCTAATCTTCAAGGCAGCAGGGTAATGTATGATTGACGAGGATCTCAGCACAATCTGGCTGTGCGAAAGCAGGCCATTCTGACTTGACCAAGTGCAGTATTGCGGTTCTTTGTCAAAACACTCAAAACAATCACTGAAATATTTTCTAATTTTGCTCAATACAGCTGCGTTTTTTGGCGGGAGCCGTGTGCGTGTGTGTTCTATCATCTTAAGTTATAGCCACTTTTTTGCCGAATGTTCATTTGACTTACTTTTTGTAATAAGGCACCTGTGTTCCCGAAGGATGGACACATCTCTCCCATGGTGGAGAAACCGAGTCTTGAAAAATCAAAACAGAAGGCACTTGTGATGGCAGTTTATGTCACAAACGGAAAATGTTAAGCACAAAACCAAACGACATTCCTCCAAACACGTGGTGTTTGGAGGAGACGTGGTCACTATGTTTCCCGAAAATAGAATTTCCTTGAAGTGTTGGTTAACGCACAAGTGAACAGGAGGTAGTAGCGCTTATGCTGCAATCACGCAATTCAAATCATTTGGTCGTGTGTAGACTGTCCTTTTTTGGTGAAGACTTCCCCGACTGTAGGTTCACATAACTCGTGAATTACTTATCCCTCCGATTTACTTGTAGTATTTTGACTACATGAGGTGAGTAGGGAATCTCAATCGAGATTACATCCAAACAAAATTGAGAATAATCGGAACTGCCTCATTCTTCCGTAACTTGCTGTAAAAAAAGGTGACACATGGCGAGCCATTTTTTGAGCAGGACTAGAACCAACTCAATGCTGATGACAGACATCACTTCTAGAAACTGACCGTAACCTTTTCTGTGACACAAAACACTGAGGCTTCTTCGTGTTTCTATCCTTGATTAGGTTGTTCTAGGTTATGAGTTGGGAACTTGTGCAAGTACCAAAAGTAACCGGAATTTTGCCATTTTGTAACCGGGACATTTCAAACATCCTTTTGAATTGGATGGAGAGATGTGATTTGAAAATATCTTTTCTGCAAAGAATTCACCATGAACTGATGGCGTATGCCCCAGAAACGGTGGTAGACTTTGTAGTTGATTTATCGTTTGTAGAGGGGGAATTGGTTAAAGCCTATACTCTCAAGAACAATTCCAAAACAATATATTGCAGTGTAAAACTTTGCACAAGATGTAAACCTTTGGAAGTTCCAGACAAACCGCCGGACTCCTGGCCAGTGTCAGCGTACACATAAGAGATGCTTCAATGTAACTGCTGTTTGTAAGCTTGTTACCACATAAAATACATGAATACCTGCAGAGGCCATTTGGTACTATTAGCCACCATGCACCGAAAATAAGTAAGCCAGTTCAGATGGTGCGGCAAAGACAGTTCAGAAAAGCTGGCCAGAGTTTACTTGTGGACAGTGATAATTAAACTAATTGCAGCTATCAGAACTTACCACTTAAAGGTACAGCCTCTGCTTGCATGGGTACAGGAGATTCCATCTTTCCGTTCACAAAGTTCTCTGTGGGATCCATGCCAATGTACCGCCCACCTTCGATCGGAGTGCGATGTGACGGAGATCGGGTAAGTTGCGGTTGTGTGCGCTGATCCAATGTTTGAATGGAAACCAGCGTCTGACTCAGGGCGCGGATTCGGGCCTCTGTGAGGAATCGGACCTGATCAAAACTGCGCATCCCAAAAGTCGGGTAACCAATTGGTTATAATTGCAGAAGGAATAACAAAAAAGTGCATAATGGGTGGTATAAAATTACTGAATAGTAACTGGACGGAAAAAGTGTCGGTTTACAAATTCCTGCTATTTTCATCTGATTCCCACGCCAAATACGTCGGGAAGTAGTTACCTGTTCGATTGTCATTCGGCATGCCCCTTCATCTTCTGCACATTCAATTTAGTTTCCCGGAGCCATGCTAAATCGTCTTTGGGGAGATGAACATTGCGTTGGAAAACTTTGAGCGTTTCATTCTGAGACATGGAAGAATACCTTTGGTCCCCGGTACAGGAGACGACGGACATATTCGAAGGACAGCAATGTATTCTAGGGGAAATAGCTTTTGGAGGGATAACCCCTCATCTGCACAGAACACACATAGGTGATTGGCAGAGTCCCGCAAAATCCTTTTGTCTAGAATGATTGGATCCGACTCAGGGAAACATGTAATATAGTTGTTCACAAGGCAGCCCACATACCATGAGTTCAGGCGAAACAAAAAACTCACGGTGAGATACACTTTGTATTCCATTGATTCTTCGATAAATGGAATGTGCCAAAGTAAATGATCTCAGGAAACACTCTACCTAGAAGACCGCAATACCCCCGTTTTAAGGGTTCAAACCGAAAGAAAAAAAACGGCACGGATTAACAGCACACGATTCACAACAATGCAACGAACAGAAGGACTCAATTTGTCTACATAAAACAGTCCACAGTGTGCGATGACTTATAGTAAGCAATAAGGCAAGGAGAACCTTTTTCATTGTAAATACTTAGACCTGCCTGGATGAACTGACTCATCAAGCGTGAGTCACCGGAGGGGTCTTTTTTCATCAATTTTGGCAATATGATGAATAAATAGGATGAATAAATTCAGCACTAGATGGCAGTGGCTTGGAGCAGTTGGTCAGAATACCTAATTTCTCCAAGAAGGACAACAGAACAATTATAAATACTGCTTGTTCGAGCATACAAAGCTTACAGACAGGTTGTTTTTAGAGAACTTCTACGTCATAAGCGTTGAAATTGCATCATATAAAGACATTATAAGCAAACCAAACACCAAAGCGTACTCTGGCAGTTTTTTCAAGTCAGCAAAGGAGTTGCACGATATAACTGAAAGACACTGAAGAAGGCTACTAAAAAAGAAAACGTGTCGCTCAATAGAAGAAGGTTATCAAAACATTCTGGGGCTCAGGGAGGCTGAAGCAAAGTTCTTGATATAGTTCGTTTTTAAAATGCTATCAGCAATCAGTTAACAGCGAGCAATTGATGACTTGATTAGTTCAGCCGAAAAGGGTGGTTCTCCTGAGTACGCCAACTCGAGTGCCCGAACCATAAGTATGTTTTGTTACCTAAAATCAGCAGTAGTGAAATCAAATCAGCTGCGAAGTTGAACAACTACGAATATTGCCAAGCAAACTGTACCGGTTATCTGGTGTTGCGATCACGGGAGCATGGCACAGAAAACAGACAGAAACGTCTGGCTCTATTAATGATTCACGAAATTCCCAATTCAGGCCTGACGACCGCTCATGCTTTGACATCTTCCGCCTTATTTTGGCGTAAACTGAAGAAATTCAATGCGCTTTTTGGTTGACAACTTGTAGACAGATGAGCACCTGTTGTTTCCCAGGGTAGGAAATTTTACCCTCAAGTTTCGTCGAGTAAAACCTGGTAATAATATGTCACTTGTCCCCATAGGGGGCAAGTATGTCTTGGGCTGGTCACGGCTACTGTGGACTGATGAATGCAAGGTAGCTGTGTAGTTTGACTGATCTGTCACTTGGCTAACAATTGGTTTAAACTTTGGGCGATTATTAGGGTATTGCGGACGATAGTAGTAAGCAAGTAGCAAGCACATTCTGAAAATAAATCTGTACTCCGACCAATTTTCTCAGGGTTTTAGCTACATTACTACAAAGGACATGTTGTACAAGCATGATAAGCCTTACTGGAGTAATTATGCCTAATGTATCCAAGCTTTCACAAAGAAGTAAGGTTTTAAAGGAGAGTTATTCAATAACAAAGGGGAGGGATTTTGATTATGATGATGACGTTAGTTCTGGATGTCTCGCTATAAGGCTAGTTTATGATTCAAAACTGGATTTGCTGGCACTCCTTGGCCCTTACTCCGAATAACTCACCACATACCAGCTTCTGGCAACTGGCCATTTTGGACCTAGTGAATCCAATGAACTAAACAACGCAAATAAGTATGGTTAGGCCTAGCTGGAAACATGCGCTCATGCATTTGGACTCCAACTGCCAGGAGAGCATGGTCAGACCAATGTTCAGCTCAAGAACACTGACTTGAAGTGCGTAATGGTTCGTTGACGGTTAACTGAGATAAAAGCATTTTCGAATTATCCGCTGTAAAATTATGACTTGCCATCCAAGCCCACATGCGAAGCAAAAATGTGGGACGCTGAGCTCGAGTGCATTGGTCCCAGCTTTGTTTACAACCATTATATCTTCAAGTTTGTGTGAAAGTAACGAGGTCATCTGCAACTAGGTGCCTCCATTAGCCCACTGAACTATTTATTCGTGTGTCACAACTTCGTAAGGTGAGGTTTTCTCACAACGGCCAAATTGAATATCTTTATTGGCATCTGAAATACACAGTATTTTACGAAGTAAAATCAAAATCTCATAATGGTGGATTAGGAATCAACCACAACAACTTCAAAGCTGGAGCCCAGTGTGCATAAAGAATATCTCTCAAGCCCGAGGGCAATCGACTGTGAGACCGCGAAATGGCCTCAATGATGTGGATTGAGTAAAGGGACAATAGGAGACCGTTTCAGCTACATCTGTGAAGATCCGCTTGTCTTCGGTTGTTTATATGTGAAAAGTCAATGTATTTACGGGTGACTGAGACTTATTTTAGTTCACCGACCGGATAAAACTGTGACATTGTCAGGTCGCAAACATGTCTTGTTAACGCCAATCAGAGGAAAGAGGAGCGTAAACCAAATTTATTTGACGGGTCGATGTGCAATCAAGGATTATAGCAGGACTACTTTGATGATACTAATATTAGTAAGATATAATATTCGGTGTGTTGTTACATCCGGTCTTTAAATCTCTCCATACATCGAGGACATTCTTTTGTACCAAAGCATGAATAGGTTTCCGTGTTCCCCTTTTGTGTCGTAACATACGCGCAAATACAACTTTGTTAAACTGCCATGCCACTTGAGCCAGGAATAGTTTGAATTGCTTGCAGACATATAATAGCAGTGCAGCTACAGTTTTCTGATCAAACTCAATCCCTTAATCTATGCAATTGCGATGGCAGGATTCGAAATTCACTCAACCAGCTGTTCATCCTCTTTGGTTCTGCAGCTTTCTTTCGTCTGTGGAAATTAATAGATAAAAATGATTGCTGGTAAAAAAATTTGTCTCGCAGAGTCTTGCTTTTCCCCGAGATTCGGCCATTAGAATGTTAACAGCCATTTCCGTTTCAATGAGAGAAATAGGCCTTTCGAAGAATTTTCACTAGAATTCCGTGTCCTCATCAGAAGGCCGCTTGGTTCCTTTCACAATATTTTATCGGGAAATCATTGGAAATGCACATAGGATATGCGAAATTTGACTAAAGGGTGATAGGTTTTAACCCCATAGCTGTAAACCCAGGTGCTCCATATCCAGTCATAGCTTGATCCCATATGTAGTTTCATACATCCGTGCAAAATGAACGAGTAAATCACCTTCCAAAAACCAGATAACATGTGAAACACAAAGCAGCTTCATCTGAATACGGATGCTCTGTAGTTGGAACACACTAACGTGGTGTTTAAAAAGCGCAAAATCCAAATGTTCGTTAATGACCGGCAACCCATACTTCCACCAACGTTTACTAGCCACATGTCAAATCATATTAGGTTTACCAACAGTCATTTGGCAGAACTATTCTCAGTGCACCTAAAAAATTCACAATATGATCTCTGTTTAGCAAACGTACTGGCTCCGCAACTCCGACGTTTTCAGTCAAGTTTACAAATATTTTGGGCACCCTACCTTAGATAGACTGAACTTTGGGGACGTCCAGAAATTCCCACTGTGCATTTCTTGCGACCCCGACCTCTTAGACATGTTCCACTGTTGGTAATTGATCAGGTGGCTGTTGNCAGATCAACAGCCACCTGATCAATTACCAACCAATACACCCGAGCTACCAATATTCCAAAACATTACCAATGTTCCACTGTATTCAACAACATGGAGTATTTATGTTTTCTCATCATTTATTTCCCGCTATTTTTCTATACACCTACGCTGTCAACAACATGAGAGCAGAAAAGCTGTACAATAATCTTTAGATTAACGGGCAACTGACTAGTCGTCACCATTGGATGTCTGAATTGTCTGAGGTTTTTACACGGTTCTGGTGTCAGCTACATTCACACAGGCTGTCTGAAAATGTCAAAATGCCGTTGACATGCAGGATGGCAATTCATACGGATTCCATGTAAAACAACCACGTTTGCAAAGTGAATCGGCTTTCATTGCCCAGCATTTACAACTTCATCGTCAACCTCGCTGGCTTAAATTCACCGAAGTGCAATATACTTAGCAATAAATACGGCAATAATCATACTCAACCGCCTACAAGCGTCCTCAGTTGTTCCAGATCGCCAAGAAAAGCACCCCGATAATCCAAAGGAAACCAACTTCACACCCTCCACAACATTGTGCAAAACCGCAAAATAGTCCCTTGTACGGAGTGAGGTGTGACCGTAAGATAGAAATTGACGGACAGAAAACAATAAAAGGACAGTTCAAGGAAAATCGACCCCCAGAAACTCTTTGCCATGTGATGCACTCAGGCTTCAAGCGTAAATCGCCTAAATTTCTGTCAAGTCCCAAAGGAAACAATTTTCGGCAACCAGCTGGGTTTTTCATGTTGTGTTGATTCAAGTGGTCAAAAGGCATCACTCGAAGATCAAGAGCTAACAGGGAATAAAAGCTACGAAAGATCCTACGACGAAGGTTTCTCAGAGGGCCAATGGCGTTGTCTATAATGATGCGCTTGATGGAAGAAATGAACTAACTCATTGTTGGGTGCCCCTGTCTGGCACCCTGATTTCTAGTTGCCACAGAAGACCAAAGAATACAATCTCTGTTTCCTGTAGTTCTTGCGAATTCGCCGAAACAGTTATCCGTTAGGGTCTCTGCGGAAAAGTCCCCTTCAAGAATGATTGCTCTACTGGAAATAAGTGAATTTTCTTGGGATTTTTAAGGTCTTTCTTACATACGGATCACCTTGCGTAATAGAATGGTTTTTCACCTGCTATAACGTTTGACCTAAAAGCTCAGTGTGGAAATGATTTGGAAGTGGTATAACAATACACAGGCAGTAATATGCAAAAACCATACTCACTCGTTGCGTAATGCAGCCTGCTGTGTAATAATGTGTGGATCCAGTGCAATCTGACTATCGTGAAATTGAACAATTTGTCGGTCCAAGTTGTTCAAGAGGATAACAAGTGGATCACAGGCCTCGTAAAACGACTAGGGTGAATGAAGTATAAGAAGTTAGAGGGAAAACTTGTAGTTACCCGAAAAACGATCGATTGAAAGTGGTAACGACCGAGGTTGAATTGTTCTATTGTTCATACCACAAGTTATGGAATCCACCAACAGAGTTTGGTTAATTCTTATAACACTGAAAAGGTTTTTGCACACTTTTCAGTTCAAAACAGTCAGTTTGTGGATGATCGTGACCGGTCAACTAAGCGACACGGAAGCAGGCCACAACGATTTGGTCTGCATAGAACAGATGATAATTTGGAGTGATCAGAACACACTCTTGGTTGGGCTGCTATACTAGCAGCTGGTGGGCCCGAAATGATGCGTTTCGGTTTTTGATTAAATCCCGATGCGTCGCAACTTAAAATCCAGTCTATCACTGGTTGGTATGATGCGTGAACATGAAAATCTATCGTCTATTGCAAGACAATTTTTCAGTCCGCCGGAGCGAACATTGATGCTCATAAAATAATGACCATGAAACGAACATCAATGTCGGACTTTGATGGGCAAGTCTCGAGAGGACCATTAAATCCTGGATTTTTAGGCTGACGGACGAAAAAGCAAGTCTGAATTTGCAGCTGCTGAGCGGGAGTATCCAGATGAAATAAAATGAGTTGACTAAAAGACTGGAGATTATTTCTGACTGGCAACCATAATGGACAGGGGATTCAGGAGAAATTACAGCAGGCATGAAATGTTAGCCGATCATTAATGCTGGTTAATATTTATGGCCAAAGCCTAAAGTTTAACTGAGCTTAAACCTTGACAAACTTTAATATTTCCTTTACGACAAACCAGGAGGTTGGTGGGATTTTGCGGTCGATATAACCAACAAGACTACAGCAACAAGTTTCACTTTAAATAACTAGATTAATTGTGTGTGTTACTTTTTTGTCTACTTCTAAAGTTGTAGCACAATGAAGTAATTTTGATGTTGAATATGGCAACTAAACTACTCAGCTGTCTAAAGTAGAGGAACCTCACCTGAGCTTGCTCAAGTTCTGTCCCGATTCGGTCGACAGGCAGACAATCAACCGGCATCCACCGAAGTGCAACAGCATGTGCACTGCGAACTTGCTCCACCACATCGTTGAACATTGACTGGAAGTTTGATAGGCGCTATACAATGGAAACAGTGATAGTTCGTCTTTTGATAAGATAAACGGCTACTAAGGATGAACAAGCTGGTTTCAAGCTGAATTCAGGACAATCATATTGCTGAAAGATTACTCTCAAAGTTTCCAGTAACACAATACGTTCAGTCACTTCGTCTTAAGCGAAAACTTTAAATTCATTCAGGTTAGTTAGATCATGAAACACAAGAATTTCCTTACATCTGAAACTGCATCCAACTTCTGCTTGTATTCAAGCATGCTTGAGTTGAGTGCAAGCCACCGTTTCCTCAAATGATACAAATATCTTCGGATCCGACGAGTCACGCGCTTCGACTGGTCATCGCCGGTGGAGTCTCTGGAATCTTGACGTTGTGAAGAACCGTGAACCGGCATATCAGATGCATCGGACTCGAGCTCCGAATCACATCCCAAGCCGGTTTCACTCCTTTCGTCACCGTACTGAACAAGTCCTTGTTGAAGTACTTCTTCGATTTGTGGTCGATGGGCTTCAATCTCTTTGAATAGATTCTGAAAAATGAGATGCAAAAAATAAGAAGATGATGAAATGTTCAGCCATGGATCACTGGCTCCAGAAGGTGTAGTTCATTATACTGTAAGCTAACTACAGAGATGTGTTTATGCACCCTCGTTCGGCAGCTGCATCTTCGTTTTCTGCAATGAACGCCGGAAAGAATATCTATGGGGTTTGGATGTCAACTAAACTTTGGGAGAACAGGATTTAGGAAGGTCCCCATAACAGGCATGCAACTATCAACTGAACTAATCAACGTGCTCAGAAGTTGGGCGCCGTAAAGAGATCCCTGTAACTTAAATGGTCACAAGTGCAAGTGGATCAGTTTAAGGGATACGTGGTGTAGCATTACACTTTGGTTACGAAGGGTGTTTTCGTATTTGGTTTCTACTTTTGCCAAATTCTAGACTAAGAACATACAGTTCCAGCTATACGTGTTTATTAGTTTCAAGGGTATGTTGCATTACTTCGGTTGATTCGCTCGTCCAGCAAGACTTGTACAGCCCAATCTACCGATACTACTTAATTCTTTGGTCAAAATTTGTTTGTATTCACGAAAACAAAGCTCTTTCCTTGCTCTTTGGTCCTATAAGAATGTCCATTTTCTTCCTTTTTATTTACCTTCTCAAAACTTGAGAAATATACTTTGGGATATATACAGAACCTAAATGTTCAAGTAGATAATGGTCAGAACCTCTCGATCCAGGAATATGTCGATGGCAATTTCGGGTAATGGAAAAGAATTACATGCGGCTTGTGCACATTCATCAGAATCCGCCTTCTGCTAAAAAAATTCGAGGTCGCACGATGTAATGTACACGCTCCTCCCAACTTAAGAAGAGATGTAGAATAAGTAGGAAAGGTGGTGGCTGTTGAAGAGAGATGTGGAAGTCATCGACACAGTCCATGGTTGGAAGCTGAATCAGCCATGGTAGAGGTGTGGGGTGAGAGGTCGCACATGTAATGTACACGCTCCTCCCAACTTAAGAAGAGATGTAGAATAAGTAGGAAAGGTGGTGGCTGTTGAAGAGAGATGTGGAAGTCATCGACACAGTCCATGGTTGGAAGCTGAATCAGCCATGGTAGAGGTGTGGGGTGATGTTATTAAAGATTTCTGAGGCAGAGGAATATGCCTGCTAAAGTGAGCCACTTTAAGCTTCAGAACCTCTTATTTTATGGCCTAAGCAGCAAATATACTAGACAGATGGGATATCTCTGCAGAGATAGTTGCTAGATGGAGAACTACAACGCTGTGTCAAAAATACAGTCCTGCTTCATTATTGTATAGATTTCAGACTCGTTTGCAAGCGAGCTATCATCCCAGCATGAGACTGACAAATTTGTCTGGACAGCGACACTTTTGAAGGACAATCCACGGTGCTTCTCTGTTGATTGAACAGGAAACATTGGTAGGACCTGCGGACAGAAAACAGAGTAGATGATTCCTTGCGGCGAAAAGCAGGCCACACTGCTTTCCAGGATTACTTTCCTTTTGAACGTCAGCCCCATGGACTATTTTTTGATCGATGCATTACGGAGATCCTTGCACAGTAACGGTCGACTAGATGATTCTGTTCAATTATTGAATGAGTCCACATGACAAGTGGTGTCCATCCCACCTTGGACCACATGTTTCCAAAGCCACATTTAGCGTTGTAGAAGCGTTGTTAGTAGTCTTCCATCTTTATCGTTCACTGAATCACCTCTAACTGGAGCCGGTATCCTCTTCTAGTCTTCAACACTCCGAGAGTTCAAATTGCCGAACACGACAAGAAAGTTGCCTATAGTCGGTCTGACTCGGTCGATCGTTAAATTCCCTCTCACGTTTATTTGGTTATCACATTCTGAGGAAGTAGGGACCGATACAGTTTGATTGCCGGAGTCGGACGGACATCCCTCTTGAGTCCAACATATCCACCATATGGTCACCATATTCTTCATATCACCCGCAATTTTTAATCCGACAACGCTCTCAATTTGGTTTTCTTGTATTGTTCACTACAGCGGAAAGTGTAACTGGTGTGAGGTACTTGTGGCTTTCTTTAACCCGACTGTAGTAAGATCTACCCTGCAATTTGAGAACCTTTGAGTTAAGAAGAGTTTGCCTTTCAGATCTGTCTCCCCAAGCCCTTTCCAGGACAATCCTTATATTTCAGGTTCCTAGTGGTAGAACACATATAATTCGGTCTTTCCGTAACTTGTGATGCAGAGCAAACTTGTTAGACTTCTTGGCCTGTAAACAATAGGTTCTTCCGGTCAACTCACAAAAACCATTGGGGGCTAACCCAGCCAGAGGCCAACGGAAGTAAGGCGTGAATCTCTAAGTGCTAATGCCACGTCGCACAGCATATGTCTGTTCAGCAGCCACAGGCTTTTAATTTTCAAGGTATTCTGACCCCATTTTATGTTGTTCAGACTATCACAATCAACCACTGGAAGCCCAGGGTGCAAGCTTTTGGAGCCAATCTTTTTCAACTCCTCCATTCTAGAGGAAATACAGTATCGTTACAATCATGAATATGAAATTGCTGGTTGCCGTAGGTGAAACATCCAACTAACTCTATTACATCTAACAACAACTAGCGAATCGCACGCATTCACCACACTATCACCTAACAGTATGCCTTCTTGCGATGTATGGACTCTTCTCCTCGTAGAAATATTCCCTACTAACTTTCTTCGACGACTGAAACTTAGGGGATTGAGTTCCATCCAGTTAAGCTCGCAGGCTGAGTACAGCACTGAATCTGGACCACCAAAGCTAACTGACTGCTTTTGACTGAGCTATGGAACCATAGGTTGAAAATTTTCGAGTACATTTTAAACCTAACCAGTTACAATTTGCGTGTAGAGTGATAATAAAAAAATGAGTGTGAGATGGATGAGCGCAAAAATGGACATTTTAACACGTAATTCACTTCAAGAGAATTAGATACAACGAAATTTCAAAGCGGAGAGAAAGTTTTCATCCTTATTTGAAAGCTTTGCGATTGGATTTCAGTGTATTTTGAATAGATCTCTAGCTCGTGGGCCTTATTAGGTGTTGATGAGCTCAAGATTTAAAACAGTTTCCCGAATAACACTCAGTCATACAATTAAATCAGCAGACTTACATATTTCGTCCAAAAATATCTACTTCTGAATGACTTTCATTTAAACACACTCGATAAATTTGTGTGCATAGAACACTTGACCATTCGAGAGGACTTGACTTGTTATTTCTAAATTTTCTAGATCTTGGTTGGGAGGTGAACCGTTACCGTGGGAATTTCAATTAATTATCAAATTCGAATGTGGGTTGCTCTTTGGAATAATTCACGTTACGTTTCAGTGATTAATTAAAATGTACCTGATTTTCTTCCACGTTGAAATATCGGATCGATTTTTCCTGGAATTATTTATTTACTCGAAAGTGCTGTTTTCTATTGAGTGGTCGATCCTTTGCTCTGGTTAGCTGCTGTACTCACAACGTTCCTCGTTTTCAATCAATATCCTCGCTGTTGCGACTTATCTTTTTTGATACAGCTAGAGCGTATTAGTAAATCAGACAATGTTCACAGTGAGGTACTCTGAACAAAACTACGTTTCTGATGTTACGTATATGCTCAACTAACATGAATTTGGATAAATCTAAACAAATCTACATATTTTTTCTCATCAAAAGTCACCTCCGTACTGCGACCACTTTTCCCGGATACCTGGTATAAACTCAAAAAATGAATAACAACACATGGAGTACTTTTATTCCGACGTCTCAAGTCATGCTGATCCTAGTATACATTTGATGAATCGACGTAATGTAGAAATGGATAATAATTCAATTGAAGGAAAACGATACAACACCTTACGACAGTCTTTAGTGACCGGTCTAGGCCGGTCATGTTAGCCCTTTACAACAGTCTTTATTAATCTGCCGTGGTAATCATTTTTAGAATAAAAGTGTGAATAGGAAATCAAAGATTTGGTGACTTCTGACCATCCTGAATACCCACAAAGGAAAGAAAAATCATACAGCAGATGTAGCGCGCTTAATAATCGATGTAACAAAGGCAACTCGTTTTCCAGAATTTTACGAATAGCACATTCAGTCAGAAAAGACAAGCCAGACGGATTGAAGCTTGGCTTTGCCTACGATCAGCTGAAACTGATGCGATGGGACACAAACAAGAGGGATGTGCTTGTATGTCTGACACGCTTAGACAGTCTGGTGGTACAATGTATATACAGATACACTTACTCAAACAACAAATGTGTCATTACCAAACAAAGACCCCATTAACAAGGTATTCGTTGCACTAGTATCACGCAAGCGAGAAGTTTTTTAAAGAAAGATTAAATATTGTGGAAAATAGGGATTAAGTTAACAGGATGAGGTGTAAGGGAGCCGCTAGAATAGTCGGGCAGCTGGACAATTGCAGTGAACTAAAGCCCAAGTATCGGTGGTGTGTCTGGTAACTAGATATTGAAACGTACATTTTTTCGGTATTATCATCACTTATCAAGACGTCACAATTATTCTATATGATGATTTGAAAAGACCGTTTGAAAATGATGAAAGTACTGTTCAATGCAAAGCCTTCCAAACAGAATGGAATTGGTTTACAAATACCAAGCTGGAATGTGTCCTTAGGACATTTATCTGCTTGGGTCTGGGCTGAATAACCGCGCTATGTGGCGAAAAATCCGTAGATTCTTAGACAGTATCACAGTACGTGAAACGTAGCTTTTGGTTTCTGAAAGATATGCAACCGTAGGCTGTGACGTAAGCTAACTTTAACCATCATCAGTGCTGATGATGTCTTCGCGATTGGCGATGAAACATCTGAAAGCAAACTGCCAAACTCGGCGAGCAGATCAACACATCCAGTCAGCACACCCAAGCTACCAGTATTTCGGTACGCTGATCTATTTGCTTATGACGATATCTCATAACCTCTGTGGGATAGCTCTTATGGTATACAGTGGGCACACCAACAACAACGCACCTTCAACAACACCATAATCGAGTCATCTCCACAGGCACCAAAATCATTTTCGCCTCTCTTCACTGCTTGAGGTGATTGGTTTATTGGTTTATTTCTATGCTGAATACAATCTAATTAACCGTTGACACTGAAAAAATGAAGCATTTAAGAATTGCGTGACTGCGTCCACTCTAAATTGAAGTGTCAGAAAATGGTGTTCTGACTGGCTCTGATTCAGTCTGCTCGTAAGACACGCAAAGGCAGAAAGACGCACACACTGGCGTATGCACTTACCAACATCGTCTCACGTAATTTTAGGATGAACAGCAGATTTCCAGACAGGGGGCATATCGTAGCCCGAAATGTGGCATCACGATGTGCGACCCAGTTATTCATTTCCTTGAGCCGGGCGAGAAACAGATGGGCTTGGCCGGAGCTGGTTTGAACAGTTTGCCTATAGAGACAACAGGAAACAACAAGGATGTCAGCGGGACCAGTTAACTCGTCCAGAAATGGTCAGATAATTTGAGCACAAATGTCTTCAAGCCCTTGAAGAACGTCGTAACTGGGAACAATTTTTTTCTAGAAGCATCAGAATTACAGACTCGTGGTACTGCTATTATGACATTTGGATGATTTACGTTGAAAATCACTGCAGCAGGAGCATTAGGGAAGAAAACAAAAGTTATCTCCAACGAGGAGTGGGTTTTCTTGGACAAAAATTATTTCAGTTTAAGAAGTGAATTGGAGAAGGCAGATTTCATAAGCATCCAGAATGTAATGCTTTGCAAGTAGTCTCTTTTGACAATTTCCTAATAATGACGGGGTAAAACAGTACATCACAAGCTTGTAGCTTGTGATGATGTACTGAAAACCAAATTGAAAAATATGGGCAGCTCATCGCTCTAGGTTCTCAGAGACCAGATACGATCAGAACTTGTGTGCATCAGTCTGTTAATATATCTCATTCTTCGCTGTCTAAGCTGCACGTTTGTGATGTTTTCGTTTTTACCGCAGACAAAAAGGTTCAATAAAATGATGATCACCATACATATGAACCTGTATGCGTGTCGGCAAACGAGCGGTATGAAACAAGCAACAAATGACAAACTATCTGATCTGTCTACGGCGAATCGGTTAATCTCAGTAAAGATAAAGTCGCCATCGTAGGTGAAATTTTTGGGAAACGGTTTCCTCTTCGATGGATACATATTGTGAGGTGACACAGAAATTTTTCAACTGGGGTTTCGTCTTGAAAGTGAAGATAATCCATGCTAAGAAGCAGGAAAGCTCTGTACAGCTGTTTCTTTCCTATTTGTAATCATCAGAAATGTGTATCTGTGGAGCCTATAGGTAAAGCCGAACCCGATATCCTCGGGTGGTAGTTGGAACACCTTTTGACCACACGCCGGTGGGGAGAATGACGACATCTCATGTGCAAAGTTCAGGCAACTCGTTAAATAATCTTTCTTCGGGGATACCCCTCAAACTATCAATAGAATTAATCCAAAATTGCACTTCCAGTTCATAAATAATCAGCAGCGACACTTGTGAGGGTGTATGGAGAGGAACGACAGGAGTCTATTTGGTCGAAAGGTGAAACCAGAGACCCATCACCCAAAAAACATAATAACCGACTTTAAACATTCTTTGGTCAAGTTGTGAAAGTGAATCTTTGGTCGCGGAAGTTTTACCAAAGTGGTCACCGGATAAACCAAGAATTTTCGTTCCAGGCGCTTCTACGTAAACAGAACCATAGATTTCCGTCTATCAGCACGCTTTCGCCTACTTCAATGCACAACGTTGCAATGTGTTTCAGATGAAAAAAGACTTCAAAGCACTCAAAGCTGCAAACACAGCTTATCCTTTTTTGTGTAAGAATCCGTAATAAGGGTTAAAGAAAACGACGAGAGCATATTTAAGGTCACTGATGAACTTCACTGTGATAACTTAGCGTTTACCAGTGTTTTAGCCCGTTGCGCGTTTTTGAGCATGTGTCATGTTTCTGAAGAACAAAGAGAGCTCACAAATTACGGACAATTTGATTGTGCTACCTATCTTTGTTTGGTCACAGTTAGGCGACGTCTCTTTTTCAACAAGTTTCCAAATGCACTTTTAGGTGTAGAATCGAATTTAATTATATCCTGTAGAGTAATAGGGCAGCAAGTACATGAGATCTGGAAGGTCTTATCTAGTAATTGAGAAAAAACAATATCATGGGGAGCAGTCACCTGAGGATTTTCAAGTCCCCAACTCTTTCGATTAGGAATGCACATAATAGTAACAATTTGTGAAACGGTAGTCGTTTTTTTCTGTCCAATTTGTCTGCATTCTAATTGTCACTAATCGCTCAGTTGTTCAAACTGGCATTTTATGGAATTTGGCTGTCAGTTGTCCTGACTTTGATGAAGTTACTTTAGTTTTTGTTCGAAGTTTAGTTGGGTGCAATCGATCTTCTCCCTCAAAACGGGGGTGTTTCCATTCCACCAAAGCAGCTTTTTGGCTCATGCAAATCGTAAAAGAACCGATACAATTTTGTGCGATACAAAAACACGGAATCCGGTAGTCAAGGGATTTATTTTTATCGCTTTGTGAAGCGGCTGATTTTTCCGCTCGCGTAGTAAGGAGAAAATGGCACCAATATGTGTTAGAGTGCCGCTATGATTCGGCAGCGTAGTAAGAGAGGATAGGTATCTAGTCTAGCTTACGTTAGGAGTTAAGTAGGAACCAACAGCACATGTATGGCTTAACGTCCGTGAATTTAACATCCTAAATGACCTGATAGAATTCTACTTTAACATGAGTAGCTATTCACTACGTCTTTCGAAAACGTTGTTTTCAAAATTATTCTCTTCAGGTGTCATCCGATTTATACTAGTGTGGGGCAACTAACACTACCGTGAAAATTCAACAGAATGGTTGGCTTGAACCCACGACCCGTCAGTGAAAGCGATAATCAGGAACAATGAAACAAAGCTCTTTTTTGATATAACAGTATATTACCTCAAGGAAGCCACCTTGTCTCGAAGCTGGCGCCATCGGGTGAGAAATTCGCTGTCAGGCAAGAGGTTCACATCCTCATGTGATAGCATTGTACCGCCGGTAATCTGCGCGGACAGGCTGTTGATTTCGGTTTGTAAGGCCTGTCGGAGGGCAAGAGATGAAAATAATGCTGAGCAAGTGATAGCAAATGAATACTGGATGAATAGCCACAAATGTTTGCGAAGTCCCAGAAAATCCACGTTTGCGAAGTCAATAGAAGTACCCAGTTAAATGCTAAATAAATTAACAAGATGACGGCCTTTCTGAATATTTTGCTTTTAAATTCCACTGACCGAGAAGTAGAAGGGTTGTAGTTTGACTATACGGTAAAATATCTTAAATAGCAAATCACAACACCAAAACCTACTTGTGCCTCATATTCACCGCAGTAGCAGCAACGGTATGCAACTGTACGAGAAATGGGTTCTGAGACGCCCTGACCCCCTATACGTTCTGAAATGATTCCTTGTTTATCTGTACCTTCAAGAACACACCACCAACCCTCTGTGCGTATCATAGTTTATCACGCCAACGCGATTGTAGTTTATGTCTCATCGTCAATACAGACGGCAATGAACATTAAAGATGTTGATTAGATATTCTTCATTTGCATCATGTTGATAATATCTTACACCCAAACTTCCCGCATAAGAATTACTTTTCTCGAATAAACCACAAAAACGCAAAATTTTCCGACGATTTTGCCCCGGAACAGCTATTCTTGAAAGTATGGAGGGTACAAGATGATGTAAGATGAGAATCACAAGCCTCCATGACCTTCAGTTGACCGACCCTACAGATTCATTCGAATTCGTGCATTGTTCACGCTGACATGTGCCCGAAAACGAACAGGAGTCGTTCAGGAACAGCGTTTTGAGGTCCGCGACCAGAAAGTGAACAGCAACCTGGCCTGGGACAGCTTTGTGTACGCTTCGATACCCGCAATTCAAAGACTCAAGCTGCCTCATGCGGCAAGGTCATGAAGTGAAGTAGTCATGCGAGGTGAGCAGTCCGATACTTATTTCGATGCCTGCAGGAACCCTCAACTGACTTTCAGATTTCATACTTACTGTTACGGATGAATAGTACACATTTATCCCCCCTTAACGGTATCTCAAGACCAAAGAAACTCTACGCAGGCTTCAGGTCTGTACTTCTATTTGAATGCTCATGTTCACATGAGTGCATGTCCATGGTTGGATAAAGTGAGGCAATATGCGCAACCAAACCGCCTTTGTTGGCTGCATTCTCAAACAACCACAGGTTCCGGTCTATCCGCCGACCAGGAAATTCGAAATGTTCCATGCTTTTAACGACCAAAGCCGTTGACTTTCACTTCAAGCATGCGTTCCCATTTTAGTAAATGAAAAAAACTAGCTGAGGTGAATTATCTCCAAAAAAATACAGCAAGCTGTACAGTATGCCCGAGATGACACGCGCATATATATATATATATATATATATATATATATATATATATGTTGGGATCAGGGTGGGCTTATGTTCCGAAGAATACGCGCATGCGCGTGGCACAAACCTCTGTGGAGTGTTGGGCCGAAAACCCAGTCTATTTTTTAACCTACGCTGCACAGTTATCTACAAACAAATAGGTTTGCTTTTCGTAGTAGCTAACATGATTCTGTTGCTTATTTCTCATTTGATACCTCAGGTGAAATCGAATTTTTGTGAACTGTTTGAATAGTATCAACGTTGTTTGTCAGCGTTGTCCAGTTGTCCCTGTTGGAGGGCCGGAATCGTTTTTATTTCTTAATGGGAGGTGAACATAAACCAACCATTCGGTGAAACTTCTGCGCCAGAGGGTTGAATGCTCCTGGGAACTTAACCGGTTTCAGTGGTTTAAATGAAAGCATTCGCCTTCAAGAAAACTGAAAACATCATTCAAGCTAGCAAGATACATTCACTTGCATTCCAATTTGGTATACAGCTCTGACACAGCTGGATTCCTCATTTATGATGTTTTAACAAAGGGCGAAACCTGATGTGGGCTGTCGAAGATTTTTCAGCAACCTTATTAGTAGTGTATCACATCATTCAAGCCACTTTAGCTGAAAACACTAATAAGCATTCGAATTACCCACTTCTGTACAAAAAGGTCTTCATGTCAATGTGACTGATTATTGAACGAATCGAAAGTCAAATGTAAAAACGTCTCTAAACTAATCTGAATGTCAATTGCGGATTAACGAACCCATATAATATGTGAAATCCTCAGTCATTTACACAGCCTGTCATTCTCGCAATGCATTATAACCAAGCATTTTATCATAATAGTAAACAGAGTTTATAAGGGATGCATTCTTCCAACATGAAGTTGATTGAAATCCAACTGTCTGAGAATTGTCAGCTGGTCCCTTGGGGAGCTTCCATCCATCTTGGACGGCTTTCTAGCATCGTCTTCCAAAAACTACCATAAATAAACAGTTTCCACGACAGGCAGCGCAGTAGTTGGTTCATCAGCTGAAAACTTTCATAGAATAAGTTTGCCTTAGTGTAAGCAGATTTAAGAATCACTCAATTGCGGTTTCGTCCGATGAAAACAACCCATGTTGAAAAGTCGAGAACTACTTATTTGGAATAATTGGCAGTGCTCATCTCAATGAATTCCAGAGAGTTTCCAAAACTATGATCTCTCGGCTAGCAGTTTGAACTCCTAATAGTTTGCACACAAAAGGTTATTCAGCAATGTGGTTAATTCAGGATACAGCACCAGTTAGGCTGGTCGGATTCAGTTTGATCATCTGGTACTACGCTACTGCGAATAAATGGTAAGATTATGCTGCTTTTTTTGTAATCCGAACGCACGCAGGTATCTGATACGAATTTTCATGGATTTTAAAGGTGATTGTGTGAAACGATCAGCTGTTCAATAAAACACACCGGGATATCCATGCAAAAATCTCTGGTCTGAACACTTCTCAGGGGACTCGTCTGTAGAGGAAGTCATCAAACCTTAGTGGTCTTTCATTCCATGGCCGAGAACCTAGCACAACACTTTTAAACCAATATATTACCTCAGTGCTTCCACGCTTCCAGTTTACAGAATCATGTGTTCATTGGGATATGGCTCACTTGTTCTCTGACTGAAAATATTTCAGGATATTTTGCATACTCTGCGGAGCGCCAACAGCTGAAAACATGTTACTTAATCCTTCAGCCTTTTCAGTTGGTTAATTTGCTCTACGAACAATCTATATTTACATATGAGTCCGGAAAAAATTTGAGAGATTATAAAAACGTTCTCTGGCAGTTGACTGAATACCCACTGCGACGCAAACAGATTGGCCTAGCAGGCTTTGCTCTCATTCACTTTAGCTTATGATCAATTGTGTGAATATACATGTGAATATACATACATTCGTTTTGTTCCCTACTGAGTAGTGCATGTTTGGCATATCGTGCATCATCTTCACATCTAAGTTTGACAGACAAGCGAAGAAGAATGTTCATGCATCGCAGAAGGATGTGAAACGAAAGGTGAAGATCGTCGTTATGGACACAAATCTTTCTGGTGTTTACCTATTCATAGAATACACCAAGGGTTCAATATACTCCCTGATTTGTAACTGGAGATTTCGATCCGGGGATCCCTCTCTTCGTGCTACTGATGAATAGTTGGCATCTTCGGAAGTACACTAACTAGATTAAGCCGACCCAGCCTCCCTACTTTCCGAGTGTATACCGTTGATTGACACTCGTAATAATATGATCACGAGTTCTGCATCACTCTTATCACATTTCTGGCAGCAATGTATGAAGTTGTAGGTCTATGATGCCTTACAATTTCTGCTTCCTTTGGAATAAGGATAGGAGTCAAAATGACTCTCCGCAAAAGCTGATCGCATTGTGTTACGCGACAGGCGATTTCAAACTGTCCCTGTGTCAATGGGACATTCCCCGTCTTGGTTGCACAAAATGCATGGCTATTGTATTGAAAAAAGTTGGTTTTTGTCTGTTTTCAAAGATCAGAATTTACGCTAGGCAAACTGAAACCGAAGGACACTAGGAGAGTTCTTTAGTTGGATATGTCTACCTAGATTTATAATCTCTTGTGAGACATGCTAGTAGTGTCAGTGAAAAAGTTTTGGAAAATTTTGAGACAAACCGGATGATAGGAGTCCGAATTATTTCTCAGATTTTGGGGTAAAATAATTTGATGTCTCTCGGTGAGGCCCGATATATGCCCTTTTTGAAAATGGGCTTTCAGATTTTGCCAGGATAACTTATTATCCTCCTATATCAGAATGAACGCTTGACGCTGATCTCTGGGTCGTCCCAACAGTCACAGATTAAATGGTCTAGTAAAAGTAGTAAAAAACTACAAGAACTACTGTGCCGCTAATTTGTCATGTATTGCCGTGTGGTATACAGGCGTGAATGAAGAGTCTCTACTGAGGCCACAGGTACAAAGTTAATAAAAATCACCCGTTTAACTGTTCCGTTTTTCGATAAACAATCATGTTTACATGTGTGCCCGTGATGCACATCCGGAGGCTTAACTTGAGTGATCGAGCTTCTGGTTTTGCAAGCGTGAACCAAGAAAGAAATTTCTCAAAATGCACATTACTGTGAGCGGTGTCAAGAATGTCGAGAATGTCTGTCAACCAGTCACATGGATGAACATGGATTCAAACGTACTTACAAATTTTTAGCCCTCCTCCTAATTCCACGTGCTCCGAACTTGTACTCCATCAGATGTACATGGGTACGTGGTCAGAAAGTCCGTACGATATTTTTGCCACGTAGACAAAGAAGGCCAGTCTAAATAAGCCACGTGAACCTCACATATTCGTTTTAGACATCCAGCGACCAAGAATTTAAACTACGGAATTGCAGAAGACAGTTCAAAAATTCAAACTGCAAATCCCATTGTAATCAAGCAATTGACCCAAGCACAAGACGCAGCGAGTAATAATAATGCAGTAAAACGAATGGAGAAGAGAAAATAATTGCATTGTTTTTTGTCTTATCACGCAACTCCCTCATCACTGGGTTTCAGGAGCAACAGCTTCCAAAGGAATTTTTCGCGTTGCTTCATAGCAAAAAACTCTTTGGGCCGTAATGGACCACCCCATCGAATCTACCACTTCACAACCTCGTCGAAGGCCTACCCTCCTAAAATTTGTTTCGGTAAGTCATCATCATCATCATCGACAGCCGTAAAGTGGATATCAGTGAATAACTGGGCCACAGAAGTACCTGGAGTTCGTTGATCAGCTGGGACCTCTGCTCCGTCACATTGACTGACTCATCCAACTTTCCGTGTTGACGCTTCAGGTCAATCTCCATCTGTGCGATACGATTCACTTTCCTGTCAATATGATCCAATTTCTCGGTCAGCTTTTCCGTCGAACTGGCTGAAATTAGCCGGGGTTCAAAGCTCGAAGTCTGCTGACCTTTGAGGGCGACAGTCTTTTCGGATTCCAGTAAGAAATCTTCACAAATACGTTCGATTCCTGAGCTGACTGTTTGTTGGAGTCTAGGGTTGGATGGAAACACATTGCGATATAATGAAGAACACTTGTCTGCACGATTTATTATCCGGTCATCTCAAAAATCGATAAACGGAGTGGCACATAGCAATTAGAAACAAGGATTCGTGGGCATGTGTTTGGCTTTCTATTAGCTACTCAAGCATCGATAGCGAATTGTCACTCCATACGACACCGTGATTCTGTGTTGGACATTTGCACTGAAAATTGAATTCCCATAGATGAATAAAATCAGCGTCTCAGTCGGATACAAACACGATTTGGAATTAAGTTCAAACTCCCCGTCGAATATCCTAGTGAAGTGTCGCTAGGTGCGCCACATTGAACCGTTAATTAAAAAGTACAAATACAAGTACAGATACTGAAGCTGATACTGTCTTCTCCAATAGCGGTGAAGTTTTTACAAATGACTGACCACGCCCATCGAATAGGTCAACAAACTCGGATCAAACTCGAACGATGCACCAAGGGAAATATACACAGATTTTGTGGTTGCAATCAACATATTGCATAAAAACCGATAAAAACTACCCACAATGGCAAGACGGGCAGTTTAGGAACCAAGGGCTTTAGGAGAGCCATCACCGCCACTTCATTTTAAAATGTAAATAGGCTGGCCTGCACCGTATGTGGCTGGTTCTTCCTTTCTTCGCTAATCGGTTTACATCTGTTTACTCATCTAGTCGTCCAGAGATCTAATATTTCCACAAATTGATGGACTAGTCGACGAATGTGGTAAGAACGATCCTTCTATTCAACCTTCTGTGCTCTAATAACTCACAATAGCTTTTTGGTGAATTACATTTTTTAAATACCAGTTGAACAAACCAGAGTTGGAGGTCAACGTGCATGAGGACTGTTTTTGGAGTTCGCGAAGCGGTGGAGTTCATAGTTCTTTTCTTCGCTTGCCTAACGGTTCACATTTTACGGTTATCAGTTAGGGACAAATCTTCACTGGAGCGATCTGAATTACCAAGGACTTAATACGCCATAGTCACATAATCTCCATTTCTCAGACAATGGCCTTCCCCTGAATTCTAGCTTACTTCCATTGAGGAAACATAACTAATCATTGCAGTTAACGCCTAAGCTAACTAGAATCAGTTAGAAAATAAACCATAGAGTTTAACCGCTCTACCTTGAATTTCATACTTTATCCTAACCTGTCAACGGGACAAGTATTTGGTAGCGTTAAGCGTGAGTGGTGCCACCGGTTGCTACTAATAGGTCGTCTCTGATAGATAATTCTAGGGTTGGCTTATCCTCTCACAGCAACCAGTGGCTTTAGGCTAAATTATTCGACTGCCAACTGGTGGGAGAATAAACAGGTGAGGACTTTGAGCCAAATGTGCAGGTCAGAACCATGAATATTTTGACCTGCACACACTTTCTCGCAAAAGTGAAGCTCTGTCCATGAGCGAACTTACTGGAATAATTTGTGAATGAAGCAAAAATTAACGGAAACACTGTCTATCTTCTATTGTCCGTTTGTTTGAAGTTTAACTGGTGTTTGAGAATGTTCATGCAAAATAAAGCCCTTTTTGAATTCAAGTCTATCGCCTTATCGTCCAAATCAAGTCGTCACACACAGCAAGAGAAAAGTTTCAAACCCGGCGCTATGGATCACTTAATACGGGGGCAGTATGTATCATCTCATCCTCAGAGCTATTCACGATAGTTCTTTGACAAGTCGATGCAGCATTAAGCTCATTTTTCAAACACTGTGAGTGATGTGGAAGTGCATATGTCAACCAATCACCTACTGAACCACAGCCAACCAAAATTATTCCATCCGGAATGGTAATTTTCTGAATTCTTCCGTATGCTTTTTAGTTAAACTGCTGCATGTGACTGTCCAGTATATTGACAGTGGGCATTAACAGGTTGCCGCCAGCGTATCGATTTTTTCGACAAACCTACGTACAGACGACAGTGAATATGTCTCATTGGATGCATAGAACAATCGACCGATTGTCTGTGCCCGGTGCACGCGCGTCCACGCACGCGTATATATGACGGTGTGCGTTTGTTGTTTGTCTTCAGGCGGTACTCCATCAGGGTGATCGTGGTGCAAGTGATTTGACTAGTGAAATCCATGAGATTAGCACAAAAGACGTCCGACCATTTCGGTAAATACACTCATTTGCAAACGAATTGTTTTTTGGCAGCAGATTCAGCTGAATCCAGATTAAACTCTGGTAAACGATGGTCCGCTTCCACTAAACGAGCTGCACCAGGTCGCCACATGTTTCATTGTTTCGATATTCGAGGTAAACTTTGTCTAAACGTAACATACTACTCGAGGAGTTTTCAGTAACCTTATGAGTATGGTTTTACGTACGTCCAAAGCACAGCAAAAGATGTTTTGTTTCATATTGATCTACTTTGTTGCTGAAGGACTGAAGACATCCGTGGAGGTCACGAGAATTCAACGAACAAGTGTCGTTTTCCCTGATTTGTTACTCATAAAATATGTACGTGCTATGGTTTTACGTCTAGTCAAAGCACAGCAAAAGATGTTTTGCTTCATATTGATCTACTTTGTTGCTGAAGGACTGAAGACATCCGTGGAGGTCACGAGAATTCAACGAACAAGTGTCGTTTTCCCTGATTTGTTACTCATAAAATATGTACGTGCTATTTTCAAGGCCTCATTTAAAACCGTTGAATGAAGCAAACACATCGATGGGTCATGAAAATAAGTGAGTGACACCGATATCAGTATGGGTCGGGGAAAATGGTTTTCTGCAGACCGAATCAAACTGAAAGGTTGTACAAACATTTTTTACTTGTAGAGTCTTGGTTTATCTAGCCGAATTCTGATACTTCTGCAATTGATATCATTTAGTAGGCTTCAGGACTTACTGATACTGAATACCACCTTCCGTTGTTTTGATATATACGCTTAAGTTCCATCTTATTCTCGCAAGTAAATTCTGGCCAGTTTCATATAAATTTCCACTAAATCAGCCGAAACAAGTTTTCTTCGTAGTCGTTGGTCCTCTTACCATTTACTCTTCCATAGAATATATATCACTAAGCAACGACTGATCGCTTGTGCACGGATTCACATACGGATATCAAAAGTAAGTTGGGTCATCTACTCACCTTTTATTAAACTGGTCCCAGCGGTCGGTAATCTGTTCCAAGTCCTTGCGAATCTTACTGGTATCCTCCGACTGGAATCTCGTCATGAGGGATTCAGCCTCATGAGTGTAGTTCCTTAGTTTTTCTCGACCCAAGGCCAACGAGTCACCTAGATCCTAAAAGAAAATCAGGGGAATAAATCAACAGCAATCAAGCCAGTGCTATCGAAGACACTGGTGCGTAACCAAAACAGATAGATAGTAAAAGTGGACCTCACAATCCACTTCGTATTTTAGTTCTTTTCAAAAGATGCGCAAACTATATCCAGAGGGTAGCTTCTATCCTACAGGACTTTGTTGCAAGATTGGTGGCAGTTAAAAGGAGAATTAGTATACGGAGCAAAAACTGAGTCGGTTATGTAACTAAAAATTTCGCCACTATTACATTCTATCGTGCATTATAAGACTGAAAGTGTATTCAGATTGGAAACGTGCTTCGGCCGACTGCAGTTACACCAAAACTGAGGCTGCTTGGCCTTCATTGCTATCTGGGATAAATTCCTCTTCCACCCTTAGTACACTCACTTCTCCAACATCACCAATGGCTGCTTGAATTTTGTACCCAAGGAAAATGGAGGAGGGGTGGTAAATCTTCATAGGCAGGTCAGCGAGAAAGTGAAATACTTTTAGCGATAGAAGGAAGGCCAGAAAAAGGAAACAGCGATCTTATTTTGGCTTAACAAGCAAAATATCCTGAACTATATGTGTGTTCGATTCAATCAATATAAAGATGAAGAAAAGTGAATTTGAACTTACTTGCAATCGCTTCCGGCTAGAATCTGGGCTGAGAGGTAGTCGTCTTGGTGAATCAAATGTCTCCCCATCTCCTGACCCTTTGGAACCTGTTAGAAGATCCAATTCCGCTTCAGCTTTGGTCAACCAGCGATCGAGATCACGCTCATGATCCTTCAATTTCTGTGTGTCCGCTATGATTTCTTCTAGCTCAAGTGTTCGACGTTGCATTTGGTCCTCGGTGTTCGCCCAAAGTTCAGACAAGTTTTCGGCTAGAAAGTTTGAGAAAATTTTCGCACAGATTAGCTGTCATCCACAGGGTTTATCTTGAAAAAGTGTCACGGTAAGGCAAATTGGAAAGACAGTCTTCGGTTTCAGTAAGCCGGTCAACCAATATTTTACCAAAAGACAATGCATTTGAAGTATCACACAGTGGTTCCAGAGTGCATTACGCACAACAATATAAGGGCAACACACCTACAGGCTCGTTGTGGTTATATAAGTAAGGTAATCAGGAAAAAGACTCGTAAGGGCGCTCAACTTCACTATCTTCTCCAAGAGGTTAGTGGTACGTAAGTTGACATATCGCAATCTGGAATCAACAGTATGAGCAACCTAAGATCTAGACCGTAATTAGCATGTGGAACCAAGCTCGTCTCCGAGGGGACCGAAAGAGGAAGCAGGTTAATTTTTCGCCTACCTGTGCTAGGATCGTCATTTAAGATAGAATAGTGGAATTCCACAATCAACGAGAATTGAGTGGTCTACGAAAGTCCAAAAATTAGTGTGACCATCACAACGAGATTTGGGAAGGATGGTGTTAACCTAAAACATGATACTTTCTTCGTCTAAGAAGCCCCCCAGACTGCTGAAGAATACCTGCATTTAAAAATGCAACTTTGTTTGCATTCGATCAAACGAAATTTCTAGTGCGACAAGAATGACTCTTCTAGTACCATGGAGGAGCTACTCATGCATTCATAGGTTTCCCTGACAAGAAATGACAGAAAGATGGAGAGTCGATGGCGAAGAAGTATGAAAACTCTAACCGTTCGACATCTGCCGCCCCGCTGGATAAGGACCCCGGAAAGCAACTCATCAGAGTTCAGTGACACTGGCAATCGTGTCTCAGGCATGCATCATAGTTATCTCTTTCAATGGGTGGCTGGCCGGTTTTGTTTTCAATTGATTTTACGAATCAACTGATTTTACTAGCACCCAAAGTGCCTTAACAATATCTTTCACGCTCTCTAATCTTCAGGTAACGAAAACTTTCATCTTGCCCGTGGTGCAAGGTTTATGGCTGATAAACAAGTGAATTGAGTACTGGAGCCGAGATCCTACCTGAGCTTGGTAATACGGTCGTAACAAAATTACCATGCTCATAGAACAATTCGACTTTCACTACCAACATTTGTTTGTGTCGCTGAAGTACGCCAGAAGCTCGCTCCCTTTCTGTGATTTTTTGTTACAGCTGCCCCGATATCAACCCACTTCCTTGATACTTTTACGTCCATCTTCACTTCTATGGTAGACCATATTACGTGCTTCTGTTTCCCATTTTCTGTTAGAGCGCTCGGAACTATTATATCTTCCCGAGTTTGACATTACCAGGGTTATCAGTGACATCGATTACGCAATCACTGCGACTACAGCATCCCTGTGTGCTACATAACAGCTCCTTTGTGGTCCTCATGTTGAAGACAAGTTGGAAGGCATAGAAGCAGACGAAAAGCCGAAATAAGACACTTTCACTTCAAGCAAGGTAGCACTTTCAACCTATTTTTAGTCCTATTTTTACATACCCAGAATTGTGACAAACACTTATATAGAACAATGGTGGTCAGTGAAAAACAGAGTTACGTTTAAAAGGTAACCGAGGTGTACAGCCTCGTAAAACCACTGGAAAACTCAAAAACAGTGAGGTACTAGTATCAGAAGATTACACCTATCAAACGAGTTTTTGAAATGGCCACATGTTTTCGAATGACCTGCATACTCCCATACACAGACGGATTTGTTTTCTGGCAAAATTCTTTAATGTTATTCGTAACTTTCTCCCTCACGGTGTACACTTCACACGAACTTTCCAAGCAAGTCACAGCAGGGCAAAGTGCACGCTGATAAATCAGTCGAGCTGTATGACGGCTACCATGATTGATTTTTTTCAAGGGGTTCTGTTCATACAATACAACCACAACACTTCATCACGGTAGTTTGACGTATTGAGCATAAGTGATCGATTTGCCCCTCTAGGCAACACAATTGAGCTACGAGCATTTGGGGCAAATCAAATGCAACAGAGGAGTGTGCGAGCAGATAAATGCGAATGGTTTGTGCATTGACAGAGGAACATCTCTAAACACAATTTCTGATCCGAAGCAACTGAGAGAGTATCAACTACGGTAAACTGAGAATTGCTGTGGTTCCGTAGAGCAGATCAACTATGCGCGACAGTCACGTGAGATGCTAATAATTAAGCAAGCCGAATGTGAATGAACATCACGATGTGATCACTGTGATCGAGAAATTTGGAGTAGTGTCCGCTTACGATGACTGGGGCGAGTCACTCTCAGCAAGTGTCCATTCATTGAGCTCCTCGGACAAGCGGAGACTGTGGTTCTGTGTACGTATCCTTTTCACTCTTATTATCTAACTCCAGTACTATGTGCATGTCTCCCGGTTTTGTGATTATGTGCCGTCCAGATTCTTTCCATTTGCATCATTTATGCCTCTCGAGCCATTTCAATGCTCAAGATCAATGTGCAGTGGCACCAACTTCTTATTATAAATTCTGATGAAATCGGACCAACTTCAGGGATTTACCTTCACTTGAATGAATTCAATAGTTTAGGATGACGCAGAGCGCATGGATTCAAAAATGCTCCACAGAAAGGATGACAGGGTTTCTTTTGATATGCAATTTAAAAGTAACTATTATCCTTGAGTTCACCTGAATGGTCGGCATCCGAGCCGGATATCTTATCAAAAGTTCTTGGTCGACAGGACACCTGTAAACTGTTATATTGTTTGATGAACAAAGTACGTTTCCTCTCTCGTGCATTTGCACATGGCTCAGGTGAGCCAGTTGCAACACTAGCTATGTGAAGATGCAGCTCTTCCTGTATAACTAGACCACGAATTTTTTGTCGTCGGCACTCCACAAATGCGATCAGCTCTGAGGAAAACACGGGTAAGCCACAGACAAGGCCAAGATATCTAAATGGCTTTATCTTGGTCCAGTATTCCAGTTCAAGGTGATTTTCCTCCCTGAACTAACATTCACTCATCTCGATGCGACTACTTGCACATATATCTTCGAACGCTGATAGGACCACAAGATCATGCAGCCAAATCACTGTTGCTCGAACAACAAGTGAGTCGTGTTTTCTAGTCCGAACTGACCAGGTCACTGACAAAATACAGGCGGTTTATCAATAGGCTGATGGGAGGGTGGGTGGTGCTATATCCTGTCCAGGTGAGAGTTATCACCTTGCTTTCAACTGTTAAGATTGAGGGATCCAAATTTTCTGCGTTTCATGAACTGCTCATTGCTGATGACTACCAATCAAGTTGCAACAGCTCAGCACTTCTTCTCGACTTTTCTGTAGAGATTACCTTCACTGAGAGGACGAAGTCATAACTGAAAACTTAGTTGAAAACTGCAGCGGTTTTTGAAAACAAGTAATTTTACGGAAAGAAAAACACTCAATAGCCAAAGTCATTGAGCTTAGCGCGTTTAAAAAATGTTCGAAAAGGAGTATTTGCTTCGAAGGCAATTGAGATATAGAAAATACCCTAGTAAAGTTCTCACTGGAGGAAACATGTCGGATCATATTACGGCCGGTTCGCACTTAAAAAAGGAACACTAGAACAATCTAGGCTGTCATGTGGAGAAAAGCAGCCTAAACCGAATAGTGGTAGTTTGCATATCATTTCTGGGTAGATCCAACTGAAAAACCTCCAACAAGCCCTGAATATGCATGGTAGATTTTGCATTGCACCGAAACTAAACACATTGATCGATACTCACGAGTACAACTAAGGTTGCGAAACTAAGGTTGGAGGTCAACGACGTACGGACATAGTCCTAATTTTTTAGCTATTTTTCTAAGATACTGTCTACCTAGCAGAAAAATGCACTTAGAACATTTCGAGCGGGTTTCCAATATCATGTTGGTGCATTGGTACAATTCCTGTGCAAGCGCACCGAACACCTGTCGCATGCAACTCACAAAGTTACAATTTCGTGAAACGGTAATAAAAGAACGAAAATTTGCTACATCTGTCAGCAAACAAGTATATATTTTCTGTAACAGCTTGGAAATCTTGATAAGGAAATAGGTATAAAGTTTAGTACTCGCTTCTACGAAAAAGCTAGATCGTTTTCGACAGGGTATTTTACTCTCAAGCAGTGCATTAACCGTGAGATGGCAGTATTGAGAGCAACGGCGGTTTCTATCTTTATGTGTAGTCGAAAACTGGATTTTACAAACCTGTAATAAACAGTGTCTGAATTTCTAATTGTAATCGTACTGAGGAAATAAACCAACGCATCTAAAATATTACGCAGAAAAGTCGCAATTTTTGCAAACGGCTGTGGTACTAGTCAGAGAAAAACGTTTTTAATTATTCAGGTAGAGAATGGCTCCATTCTTTCAGTAGAGTCAGACCCTCGGCAGTTGGAAAATCGGTACTTTGTGAAGCAGGTGCTTTGGAGAGTTTATCCATACAATGGATCAAGCAGCAGTCCAGAAAGTAGTACATCTGAATGCCAAACATTCAACTGGACAGTGAATTTAACTATTGTTTGTTACAAATCTATGATTCTTTCATGAAGGGTCACTATGAATGCTAACTACAAACTCAATAATGATATCCACCAGTCTAATGTGAAAGCCATGGTCGCTTTCCTGCTCGAATGCAGGAACACAGCACTGGAACAGCGTATCCAGTTGCGCAGTCATATACTTCAACAGATGAAGACGCTGACAAGGGCGCGGCAAAATACTAAACTGCTGCTTAACTTATCAAAATGATTCTATTATTTCTAGCGGAGCATAAGGCTCCGGATATGGTGAGAGACGACAGCATCGAGTTGTATTGCAAGATCTCCTTGAGATTGACTCTGGAGTCCAAGTATACACCCGTTGTGGATATAAGCGTAGAAAGTGTTATACACGTTTAGTCAGCATGAACTACTATACATTCTTCGCACACTCGAATTTCTTCACAACAGTGACTGTTTAATCTCTCTTACGAGCATACATCG